TCGGAAACAAAACGCGACAAGAACTAGAGGTTTTATCAGTTATAGGTTGCACTGACGATGTCTCCTCACATGTTGACGAAACGCTTGCAAGCCAGTTGCGAAGTTGGACGAACAGATCAACTGACACCTGATCAGCATCCCAATGGTTTATCAACTCTCACACAAAGCGCATCAATTCATTCTGTAGGACTTTAGAGAGCTTCCCCGAGCTTCAATCATTCATAGTTCGGTCAGTAAAATAAACCCACCTGAAAGCTTGCTCCTTCAAGGACATCTCAGAATTTGACCGGTATTTGCAACAGGACTGCAAAAACCTTTAGAATTGGCTCACTGTTCTGTCAGAAGTTTAGGAGCTATCGCTCAAAAATGTTCCATTTTCTGTATGCGGAGAATTCCCAACATTTGAGCATTGCGGTTTGATTTCTTATGTTACTTACCAGGTGATTTCAGTTTGTCTTCTGGTAATTTTTTCCTGACAACAGACTGGCTAACTGGCAGTTATAGAGATGGAGAGACTTTGTGACAAGCCGCGGACTAACCTGGGTGTTGTCCTTACATACTTTATCTCATGCATACGCAATAGACAAGTGGAAACCGGCGCGCGCAGCTACACATCCTAAATTGGCACCAGCTGACTGGAGCTCCCACAAGATACGGTCGTCATGGATGAGGGTGGATGCTTGGTAGCTTCTCTTGAGAAGTAAGGCATGGAAAATCGAAGTGTTCTGCGTTTTCTCTGCTGATTGGCGATTTAACCTCTAGATTTTGCATTTAGATAGCTTCCATTCAGGCTAAATTATTCTAAGGGCTACCCTCGAGCCTTTACTCCACTTACCACTTACCGTCTGAACCCAAAGTTGCCGTTACCTGTCCGCAAGGTGTCAAATCAGAACCTTATCGCTCTTTGAAGCACTGCAGATCAACCTCTCGTTCGCGTCTCTAGTGACCCAATATTCGCCTGGCCAATAAGATGCCTAAGGATAATAAGCTCTAAAAAACATCGTCATTGTCGATCGAAAAAGTGCACATTCCAGCATACCATTCTAAAGAACTGTTCGAATTTCGCTCACATGAACTGAATTTAGACTGTTCAGCTGGCCTCATGTCCTGTTTAAAGCAAGTCACTAGCAAGGCATTTACATGAAGCGAGTCATGTTTTTCGGTTTGGTGGCACCAATAAATTAAGAGAAGCAACTGTTTTGGGAGCATCAAGCAAATTATTACAAAACTTCCATCCAACTCACTGTTACGTAGACTTTCGGGAACGCACCTTCACCAGGTTCCTCATATGAATCCCCCTGCTACACCGGGCCAACTATCTCCTTTCTCCCTCTTTTTCCGAAACGTCAACCACAAGAGATGACTAATTATACTGAAAGCCTCACGGCGTTTTGCCTTTACTAGCCGAAGTAACATAGCACCAATTGATACTGAGCATGTCTTCCTAATAATACATGGAAAAAGACACGACAGTGCGGAGTTTGGAACCTTCAGGAAAGAAAAAATGGGAAGGTTACATGGGTGGTGCGGTGAAATTTCTAATCTACTGGCACATCGCCCGGTCTAGTTAACGATTTACTTGCATTGTTCCGTTTCACAAAACTTTTGTCCTAAAGGAAAGCACATCTTGAGCTTTTCTTCTAACAGACCACATATTTTGTGCCGTTTTCACATACCTTTACTTCTCACATGTTACGTCATCCGACTAACCGGATCAGTCCGAAAGGAGCAACTAACCGTGGACCGGTTTCTCACTGTTAATCATGTCTGTTTTGCACTACTAATAAGTATCTAGTAGCGCGTGAAATAAATACTTGAATCTTTCAAAGGTGATGAGCGCGCAAGCGGTGCCCAAACGATTACTTAGGGTGCAATAAACCTGAGTCGTACATCACGGAAATGACAAACGCAAATGAATTTCTCTCATGCCGCTTATTTGCTTGGTTTCTGGCACATGTGAAGTGCTACACAGGTAAAACGTTCAACTCTTCACTATTTCGTAATCAAAGCTTCCACTCCTCCCTTTGAGCGCGTGGAGCAACCTCAAACCATCTGTCTACAGCGGACGCTCCTGACAGAAGTAGAGTACATGTGGACGCATGTAAGCTTTTTGCAAAGCCTGGAGTGGCGACACCATAACTGTGATGTGAAATGTACGTGCAAGAACCTTATGGATATATAGGACAAAGAAGGTGGAAACTGGTTTGTGTCACGTATCACAAAGACAGTCATCGTTAGGGTTAGTAACGCCGTTGTACGTCATACTGTGGCTTCAAATAGATGAACCAAACCAGAAATTTACGTTGAAACAGGAACAGCTGAGACACTTCCGGCAGTTTTAACAACTCACGTAAATCACACTGAAGTTCAACCAGGTCCATTTAAAAGTTTGTCAACTATTTATTAGGTCGTTCATGTGCTTTCCCATATCATTTGTCATCAAAGCAGCCTCATTCGAAGTCGACATTTGGGACAGACGGATCCACTAAGTTTGTGGTTCCCCGTAACACGTGTCTGGAGAGCAGTCGTCCTAATTACTACACCTTTAGGCGGATGTGTTACGTGCAGGATACGAACCAAACGAAGGATGCTCTGATCGTGCAGGATACGAACCAAACGAAGGCATGCTCTGATTGGTCAGAATGTCAGCCAATCCGGATCGAGCATCTTTAACTTGGCTCTTCTCGCTCCTTCACGGAGAGTCTAGCGTAACCTTGTGGAACATTCTGTCAGTATACTATAAATACGGTTGCACTAATTGTCCTTAGTCTCCATGAAGGGCTGTCTGAAGCTATCGCGCTGATAATGACGATCGTTGGACGGTTCACAAAAACCAAATCACATCCAAATAGTAATTGTGTGAATGGATATTATCTAACAGTCTGAGACGTAGTCCACTTCCGAGCTTAATGGGTCATACTTTCCCTGCTTGACGTGACAGCCATAAATCAGTTTTTGTTCCGACTTTGGGTGGACAAGTATTTGGAAGTTAGGTTTCTCCCAACCAGAAGATTATTGTATGCATGTGTCGTTGATGTTACATTTAGAAACAGAAACATTCGTGCTGCATTACAGTCATGCAAGAGACCACATTTCGATTGACCTCGCTCATGAAGTAACCCACCGTCATCGGGTCGAACCAATGGCGATGAGGCGCAATAATACCAGTCTCAGTATCCAACCCTATTAATCGGAGCCTGTGTCATCAACCACTGTTTTCAGGTTGTTGAGTATGCAGAACGATTCGCTTGAAATACCTTGGGATTTATCGAGGCAGTGTTTGTTGTCAGTAAAGCGACCAGTTCAGAGGACACGAAAGGCTTCAATGACCTTGAAGTATGACAGAAATGCCACGCATATACTGAACCAAACCTTTCTTGCACAGAGCCAGTATTCGAGGTATCCCATTCCCGACACTGGAGTGAAACCAGGTGCCTGACTCGATAGTCATTGGCATGGCTTTAGGGGGCCGGCCTGGCCCGAGGGTGCACTGTGTAAGTCAGCACTGTCTCATTCCTAGTGCAGCTCTGCAGAGCAGGTGCCTTTTGAGCAGCAGCCGGCGGTCAAGGGCAACCGTTGGGCGATTGGAGCGTGCGGCTTTTTAGGGCCGACCCTTTCTAACTCGTCCTTCCGCGGTGGAATGCAACATCACTGCTTCCATAAATATGGACATGATGGTCGCCTAAAAAAAGCCTTGCTCTCTTCACACTTCTATCACAGAGGACAGTATGACTTTACCTCCAGACTCCTACGCAAAACAACTTCTCGCAGCACGGTGACTCGCTGTTCTTCATCGGGCTGCTCCCCTTTGGCCTTCCTGACATGGTTGAACCTTTAGGAACTGAGTTCTAGCGAGTAAAGCCTGCACGATTATCGCATCACTGAAGCCCGACTACCACGGCAAGGTGACAACTTTAGGTCGGGTCCGTCCGACACTCAGTCTTACATGCCAGGCTGGTCAGCAGTCTGACGAACACAGTCTCCTGGCCGTCCAGGATGGGGGTAGGGACACGTGTGGTGAATTGCATTTACACCATACAATACAGCCTTGCGGTCAGGCTTACGAGCTAAAGACTTTGGTTGAGGACCCTAATACTCCTCGTGTCTAGGTGTGGGAGACCTGGTAGTATCCCAGCCGGCGTACAAACGGGAATAATCTCATGCCAAGTGGACCGTCGCGTGATGCTATCACCTTAACTGCTGCATACAGCAGGGCAGGTAATCAAAAACACGCTTTTGCCGAAGCCTGCCCTCTTTCTCTTTCACACACTTTTCACCCTCCTCCGCAAGCCCCACTAGTTCTCTTCTTGTAGGCCTACCAGTCGGGACTGACGAGTGCGTTCGTTCTGCATCAGTTTTGGCATAGATGTCTTTCCCGTCATCTGACGTTGACGTCTATCTAACTGCTCTAAATGTCCACACCCTGAAGCAACTCACTACGGCAGTGAAACATTACGTTTGAACACTGATGTTATGCTGACGATTATGTGTGTGTGTGTGTCCAAGGGTACATGTGCATGAGGTTCAAGATAGCTGAGTGGTTATGGCACCAGCTTAACGACCGGGAGGTCCTGGTTCGAACCAGATCTCAGCATCTCCACTGCTCCTGTCTAGGCTTGAGCAACCTGGCAGCATCCCAGCCCTCAGAATAAGCTGGTGAATGCCATGTCGAGCTACAAATAAAGCTTACGACCTGATAAGTGGATGACAGAAAAAGACTCCCCGACCTGATATAGATGAAAGGAAAAGATCAGTTTGTCACGCGTGTGATTTCGATCGAACCACAGTGCTGTTTTGTCCTCCAGATGATGGGTGGTACCACTTTACCGTCGATAACATCATCCAGTTGACCGACTGCCAGTGGTATTGAGACTGTTCTTAGTGAGAACGAGACCGACTGACATGCTTACGCCATGCTTTATCCCATTTCGCGTTTGCATGGTACCGGCTCTGATGTTTTTGTGATTGGATTTTGGATTCTGAATTGATGTTTTATTCAGACTGGACGTGGTGACAATAACAGGCCGGGAATTGGTCTGGACACCATAAACGCCGTCAGCTGCAGATCACATGAGGGTGACACACTAGTCCGATTTGTCCAATCAACCATGTCTGATTGATTTCTTGGAAAATTTGGGCACCAAGCGACAAATTATGGAGTTTCTGTCCCTGCTATGCATTACCCAATGTGAGCACTTGTGCCGTTCTGCTGTAATGGGCTATGGACTTGGCCGAATAGACGAGGTCCGACGACACGAATTATGGTGTTTTAATTATTCCCTCGCGCCGCCTACAAAACCATCTCCAGTTTCGTATCAACCGAAAACTACCTCCGAATTCGAATAATTATCGCGTCTATTTTCCCTCTGGATTGGATGTATAAAACAGCGGTAGAGAAATAATAGCGGCCAATTTCCGCCCTCACTGCTCACGAGTAGTTTCGCACAATTTGAAATCATATACCGGTCACAAAAAAAACTCCAGAGAGAAATGATTTCTCGTCTGTAGAAGTAGGTTATGAACCACTGGTTTGTCGTGTGTGTCGCTCGCGATTATTTTGGAATCCGACAATGTAACCCGAAACGGACGATCGCATAGGAAGTTGCCTGTCCTGCATTCTTAAGAGAATGGTTCCCCTTCAAAATAATCGCTTTTGATGATGCTATACTGTAAAAATTCACAATACTATGCTTTTCTTCCTGCATGAGGGGGCGATTGTGTTGTGCAAACGACGTTATGGAGCAGGTGTATCACGCAGCCAAAGGAGATTTGAGTCGAGAAGTTTGAACACTGGTCTTGTATCATGCACAACCTACGACAATGGCTTTCTTGAATGCGGAAAAATTTTGGCTATCCAGATGACACCAGTGGTGCACTCTTCTCGGTGACCTAGCTACATAAACTGCACAAGCATCGCACTCTACACTCTGGTCTGTATCAAGAACTGCAAAGAGTGAATCACCATACAGCTGGCTACAAGCAAAGTATCGCTGTTTCGCTATAGTCCAACCAGAATCGATTTTGCGTCATATTATCGACCGAAATGACACGTCGCACACACTGTCGACTTACTCCAGCAGCAAACTCAAAGAGTCGATCCACACCCATCCACATTTTCCCAAATGAAATCAAACTTTATACGGAGTTATTTACTGGCAACCAGTGCCATGCATCTTGGTGAAATGTCGGACCGAAAAAGGCGTATGAAACCAGAGAATTTGAGGGGTACCGATTGACGAATGTACCACAAACGGTCAGCAAGGATAAACATTTCTAATAAGGGTTGTATTATCTGCTGAAGTGCCAGAATGCCAGGAGTTAAAGTCCACAAACGCTCAAAAGAATTAGATAATGCACTAAACTCTTCTGGTAATGAAGGCAAATTCAAGTTCCGGCGCAACTGATCCACGAGAACAGGATAGACAAGATTGAAGGACACAAATTCGGTGCCCGTCAATAGGGAGCTAAGCTCAGTAGTATCCTTGGTTGGATCGAAACGATAATGGCGACGAGAGCAACTGTCCGAGGTGGGTAGTGTTCGTGCTATAAGTGATACGACGCAAGTGAACATTGTTCGATATAGGAAACGAATACGATGCACGTTGGAATCATGTGCAGTCCATTGTAACCAAGTCGTAGGAGACCATTGACAGGCCAGTCGGAATGTGGCTTCCGTATTGAATTCCTCTGTCACAGTGGACTGGATGAACAGCCTCTGGACAACATCACTCCAAGGAAACTGGAAGACAGGTGAAACACAGTGGACAAGGTAGGAACGCGGCATTGGTTCCAAAACAATCGGCGAAGCGGCCAATATTCGATATTCGTAGTAGGATTATAAGAACACCAAAGTAGGAAAACAGTGGAGATTGCACAACCAGGTAGGTAGCGGCTTTCGGATCGAGCAAACCTCTGACTTACCAGATCCCTCTGTCATGGTTTTGACTGATGATCCCCACACACTTGGATGTCTTTTTAACATACTGACCACAATCGATCCCACTTTTCCGTATTGTTAAAAAATTTCTCACAACATGACAGTACTACTGATAATAACTCAGACTTTTTTATATAAGACGCGTGGAGTGAGTGTCGGGGGCTCCAGACACTAATTGGAAGGGACTCACAATCCACAAGTTTGGACCTGAGAACTTGTATTTCCCTACACGTGAGAATCTAAGCACTCACGCGTCCTACAAATGTGTACCTGAAAGATTGTGCAGCCAAATATGTTTGCTGGTGGCTTGATCTGGACAGCTTCCCATTCTTTCCCAAACTGTTCACGGAACCAACAGCTGGAAACCTCCCACCTACTGGTTTCTTATGGGTGAACTAATTCGGGTGACTGAGGAATGCGAGTCAGCCGAAGCCCAAGTGAAGCCCAAGGAACTGGTGGTACAGCTTTCTGAGAAGTTGGTTAAAGGTTCAGTGCTCATGGCATGATGGCCGGGAAATCAGTTCAATAACACGTAGGTAAACACCACACCGTCTGGCTAACGGGAGAACCTGTCGAACTGAACCTCGAAAACATGCATTGCTAAATTCTACCCACGGACAGGAAAGCGCGAGAGATATACCCAAGCACTGGACGCGATGACCTAATCATCGACAGCATGACATCAGTGTTCAACACCGATGCTTCACTGCCGTACAACCATGATTCATTTGAAAGTCTTATTGTAAAGAAAAGAGTAAAGGTGGACAGGGAAAGGACTTAGTGCTAGCTTATCACAATCATTCCGAGGTGCCTACACCTCCAGACATTCACTCAGGCAATCTGGATAGAAACTGACAAGAACGCCACTGACATCGGTTGGCAGCCATATCTTGTAGTGTCTCCAACCAGGCACAGTGAGGATCACGCGGTCCCCATTCTGGAAGGCTAGTAGCACCCAAGCATTTCGTGATATCCTTCATATTCCTCTGCCAAGTCAAGGGTTGGCCACCTCTCTGTTTACGCCACTCTGAGTTGGGCATGGAAAACAGCACTCTCTTCGGCAAACGATGGTTTGGCGTACGCAACACATGTCCCAACCAACGCAGCTCCTGGTGCTGGACATATTCTTCAATGGAAGTACCCGGTGCATAACAGAAAACGCGCTTCCTAACTGCCTAATTACAGATTCGCCGACACCAACCCACACGAGCTATGGTTCTGAGACAACGATTGTCGAACACCTGAAGACGTCTCAGTTCCGCTGCTCGAATAGGTCAAGTCTCACATCCATACAACAAAACAGCCCGTACTGTAGCTTGATACACACATCACCTCAGATTCAGGGATATAGCACTCTGACGCCACAGGTGTCCCAAATTAGCAAAAGCGGCCCGAGCTTTGCAGATTCGTGCATTCACCTCATCTGTCACACTACAATCAGAACTAATACAACTTCCAAAACCTAATGAGTTAGTTCACGAAACTGTTCAACTACACGTTCAGAGCGACAGGTTCGACGAAGGAGCACCACTGACTGCGTGTCTAACTTGTGTACCGTAAAAAATCACAGAAAAAGCATAATCATGAGACGTACACGACGAAGACTCATCTTGTGGTAACAGCATCCGACTAGAACCAACATCTGCGCTGACGCATCCTGGATGAAAAGCCGAACAATCGCTTCACTCAGATCGCCACAACAGTGAAGTCCGGAAATTAAGTAACTCGTATCACAATCTTCAAAGTTCGTGTGACGGAGCACAGGGAAACGATTGAGGTGTTCACGCAGTCTGAGAAAAGGTGAAAAAGCTTAGGTAAATGGTATGCGATTTTGAGAAAGACTTCCACCAGTGTGGATTATTAGAGAAGAGCATTCTCATTACAGCGTTATGCATACGAAAAGCCGACTTTTCAAACGCACCCTGATATGAGAATCATTTTTATCCGATCACAGGTGGTGACGGAAAGGGAGTAAGCCCATGAGTAGGGAAGGGTAAATCCACACGGTATGCGTGAGCAGCTGGCCCACTCCTAGGTAATGCGATTTCGCAATGCATCAAATGTACCAAATATTCAGTATAAACTGAGTTAACATACAAAAGCTTTTTTGAAACATGTAGCAAGACAGTGAGGAAACAACGTGACTCTTGGTCAAACCAGTGTTGAAGTACATCAATCGTTCGGTGCCTAGCTGCTATGCCAACCGAAGGTTGCGAACGAGGGTTGGGATACTGCCACGTTGCCCAAGCCTAGACAGGAGATGTCGAGAGGCAGATGTCCGGTTCGAACCACAGACGTTTCGGCCAGTAAATTCGCGCTTTAACAACCTGAGCCATTTCGCCCTCTCCGCTGATGGCCCTGTAGATCCAAACAGCTAAGTGCGAATTATGGATATTCACTTTTATTTCTCACTTCTGCACGTCCACTTTTGCAGTATCACATGCCGTCACAGCAGATGATGAGAGTTTATCTCTAGCGACTACATTTCCCTTTAAAATCGTTCCAATGGATGCTTATCAACAAATATGGTAGCATGAATACAATACAATAAAATAATACAACTGTACAAACCTCAAATTGTGGATCGATTTAGAAAACTGCTAATTCCCAGCGAGATCTCAAAGTCCACACCGACTCGAGGTGAGGTGGCCACAAGATAGCGAAACTCACGTGTCGATTTAAACAACACATACGGTAACAACGTCAAAGGGCGGTTTACGTTCAGGTCAGAAAACAAGAAAGTTGGCATAGGCGCAAAACCGAAACAACGAAAATGGGGTAGACAATGAGACTAGAAGGGAAGAAACAACACCGCCCCCGAAGCCGGCATGTCACTCAGTAAAATGTGGGGCCATACAGACCCCTTTGGACACAGACATACAGGTCGCTAAGCGTTAAACGATGAAACTTACAGCGAGAGGATGGCGCACTGAGAATGAAGTTATGGGAAATGGACAAAAGCAGCGCTATTCACCAAAAAAGTACCTATAGTTTGTGCAACATCGGCACACCCGTGGAAGGGGTGAGATGGTTAGAGCGCGAATTTACTGAACGGGTTCTGTCCGTGGTTCGAACCTGACATCTGCTTCTCGACTTCCCCTGTCTGGGCTTGGGCAACCTGGCAGTATCCCAGCCCTCGTGCAACCTTCAGGTGGCATGGCAGTTAGGCACCGGAGGGGTATTACAGCTGAGCGACGACATATATATATGTTTCCTTTAGTCTATTTAAATCTTTCCGGGACTCATTCGGGTTAGGTAGCTTATACGTTTGGGCTACAAACCTTCGAGCACAACACAACATTCGACCATACACTTTGATAGATGGTCCTAAACCAGGTCAATTTAAACTTTCTAATCATACTACCTAATTCAACCTGGCCTGGATGCCGAACCGATAGAGTGCAGCCACCTGTAACATCGAACGTGAAAGCCCACGCAAGTGTCGGATACGTCGATGATGTGAACTGATGTGTGTATTAGCTATATACCTGTAATTAATAGTGAGTCCACTACACGAGTGTTTCAGTGAACACGTGCTCTCAAAAGTAGAGTGTACGGAAGCCGGCCGGCCCTAGCAACCGAACACCGCATCACTTGGACGGATGTCACATGCAGGACACGGGCCAAACGAAGGCATGCCCTGATTGGTCAGAATGCCAACCAATCCGAGTCAAGCACCTTTGACTCGACGCTTCTCGACCCCTCACGGAGATTCTGGCACGACCTTGTGGAACACACCGTGACTACCCTATAAATACAGTTGTACTAACCTTTCTTTGTCTCCATAAAGGGCTGTCTAGAGCTACCGTGCCTTTTGATATACCATAGTGGGCGGAGCAGGAAGCCAAGGGACCGATAAGGAGATGCACTACCGTTCAGCAAGTCACAACATAGACCTGGAAGGGCAAGTTGTCGAAAAAACTATAGACAGGCACTCGGTTTCCGTTAATTCGTTTTAATGGCAAGGCTAGTCAGGATTGCTGGATACCGGAGTTTAGCTGGTACCGAGGGTCGGAAAACGCTCCGCGGTAAAGCATCTGAGCCCAACAAGAATGCCGTGCTTTTGATTGCGAAGTTCGGCAAAGCACTGAAGACATGTTCACTTTGAACCGTATTCTAAAACGAGGAAGCGCGCAAGGGTCTTGTAGCAGATGAGCTTTGGTTCCCTTCAGTGCCCATAAGTTCTAAGTTGAAGTTATCTGGCAGAACAAAGTCACAGAACTGCTTCGATATGGCTGGAATTGACCATAGACGTTTTGAAATCCACGCAAAAACATATACCTTCGTAGCGAACATTGTGTGTGCACATTTCGGAAAATATCGTGGCTTTATGTTTGCTTGCGGACTTGCTGGAGTACAGTGGACGATCCCTCTCACAGTGGATATTTCGGTGGGTCTAATTAATCGAAAACGATTTGGCCGTGTCATCGAACTCAATCTGCGCAGAGAAGCCAAGCTGCACTGTACAGTGTTTTATTTTTATTGGGAATCGTCGCGAAACTCCATTCGGTTTCGAGAGATCTCCCAAACCTCTTTGTACTACTATGTGCTAAAAAAATAACCCGATATTTTGCCCCCTCCCCATCGAAAGACAGACAGACCACCAAAAAGAAGGGGTATTCCGATTCGAAAAGAGTGAAACAAATCGTTGAAGAATCGTCAAGTGAACCTTTTTTTACGCGTACAAACCTCAATTGAAAACTGTCCACGTTCGACGATTCAACTCGAAAAAGGAGCCGCCGAACAAGCCCAGACAATCCATTGTCATTCGAGACAGAAGGCTGACTCAGCTGTGACATTGCCTTGTCATGCAGCTTGGTATCACATTCGACTGCAACGACGCCGCGAAGGTCGGAATTGTATTCCTTGGTCATTTTGGAGAGGAGCTTGAGTGCCACTGCATTGGGTAAGTGGCCCAGACCCGAGCCAATATCAACAAGGAACCGAATTCCGGGTGCTAGAGGGAACGGTGCGAATAGGTTAGTACAGGAAACGTCCCGTATAAATAAGGTAACTAGCACAGTAATCTTGCCAAAGAAGGGAAGTAGTCTCACGGAATCGTGGCCACTGTGACTACTCAGGGAAGAGTCTTTTATAATGGGATAACTGTGATGATGAACGAATTAGATGTGTGACAGCCTGTCTTTTCTGCTCTGCGGTTTTACTACGCCAGTAGTGTTCATTGGTCGAAACATGAAGAATCACGAGCTTAGAATCGGTAAGAAGTTGATGAGTGGATTCCAAGTAGAGAGCGGCTTATCCGCTGACAAACACAGAACTTATCGCACAAAAGGACACCAGGGGTAAGACCCTTCAGTTTACAGACTACACACCGATGCATGGATACGGAGACATGAATTACATACGTTAGTGAAATCAATAACGATTGAGTCGTACGATCAACAAATGTGACTGATCAAGAACTGAGTGTTAGGTAAGGGACGTAACTCGTTCAGAACTGCATAAACGATGCAGACTGTGTCACCTAGGCTCAAAACCACAAAGTTTCAGGGAACAGGGCAACAGGAAACGGTAGGAGTGGAAAAAGTTCCGAGATCGTTAACTTATTTACAAATATGAACTTTTGTCAGTGTTAGACCAAAGATGATGGGTCCTGAGTCTGCCAGTTGGCTTCAGCCACAATGCACGTGAGGCAGCATCGCCCGGAATCACGTTAACAGACAGAGCTACGACAGAGTCGTCACACGCGGAAAGTACAAAGTCGCGGTGACCTCCAAAGCCGAGTGATAACAGCCATCTGATACACAAGAAAATGAAGCTAAACTGGAGATATGCCAATTCCTTCGATGTTAACTGGCCATACTCAGTCAGCTGATTTTTTTGTGCATATTCTCAGATTTTTCCTGTACAAGTTTGATTGAGGTTGCACTCTGCTCCAAATCCTGTACCCGTGCGTTTCAATGGGAAAATGAATTTTCGAGTCTCTTCCCTACATGGAGGTTGATGCATTGCCACTTTGTAGTTAGCGTACTCATCTTGGAATAGCGTTACAAATATTCTATGGAGACAAACATTCAAAACAAACGCTACGTGAAGCAGTGATCCCGTTGGGAAATGACCCCTGCAAGGGACCAATAAAAAGTGTTCTCTGGTTGTAGGTGAGCTCGAGATGGCTCAGTGTTTAAGGCACCAATTTACTGGTTCGAATCCTACCTCGGCACCTCGACTGCTCCCATCTAGGCTTGATCGACCTGGAAGTACTTCAGCCCTCGAGCATCCTTCATGCGGTATGGCAGCTAGGCACCGAAACGGTGTTACATGTGAACGAACGATTTTTGTAGGTTGACGTATGAGATACGATAAGATTCAGTAAGGCGACAAAAACAGTATTTCTGAGGAGTGACTCCTTCAGAGCATGGCTCCCCTGGGGACTTCATCTGCCACACCAACATAAGAGCTCGCAACACTGATGTATGTAGGGTGCCTAAGCCTAAACAATCGCAACCCTCCCTACAATATACAGATAAGCCAAAAGGACTAACCGCGACGGATGAACATGTTCGGCACACGTTGCGACTCATCTTGACGATGGGGAGAGCAGGAGGTATTCTATTTCAAGATCTTAGGAACTCGCGTGCTAAGTGGGCCCAGCGGTTTCATCGTTAGGGACAATAAATATTCTGCAGAACTATCGAAATTCTACAACAAAACTATTTTGCTTGAAGTGCTCCATAAAATTTCGCTGATAAAAAATTGGGAGAACGAAACCTCTGTTGGTGGGCGAGAGGCTAGTAATATCCAAGGGAAGCATTAAGTCTACCTTACCTAGTTTTGTCCGTCGAAGTAATAAATCCAGGTTTTACAATAGGCAACACCGCAATACAGTCCACTAAGAAAACATCAGGCGGTAACTATAGAACCCTTTCCAAAGGTCCTTTCCAAAGTGACGCTTTACGTCTTGAAGGAAACTAGAAATTCTTCGATAGCCCATCAGCGGTTTCGCTCTCTTCGGAGCTGACCCCGGATAGGCGCAGTCCTCGAGTTTCCGTCAAGCTTAGGTTCTACCTGAACATCGAACATCATAAGCGATTTCGGTTGAATCCAGCTGATTCAATCGTTGAAACAAATCGGCGGTTAAATCAATTCAGTTCGTGGATTACGTACAAGTTTGTTACGTTTTAATGAATCATAAGGATGACGGAAACTCAGGGACTGCGCCTACCTGATGAGCCCAAGAGAGGCAAAACCGGTCGTTGGCTGTCGAAGAGTTCAAAGAGAACCTGGGAATACTTCATTTCAACAAAATATACTGCAATATCTCGAGTATCGTAACAAGGTAGCCTGCGGAAGATCACCGAATGGGTGAGATCGCGAATTTACTGACCGGAGGGTCCGTGGTTCGAACCCGACCTCCAACTCTCGACTTCCCCTGTCTGGGCTTGGGCGACCTGGCAGTATCCCATCCCTCATGCTTCCATCTGGTGGCATGGCAGTTAGGTACCGAAAGGTGCTACAGCTGAACGAGGTAGCAGCACATCCAATTGAAGGACAGCATAAACGAGAGATTCAGCCACACTCAGTTGATACTTGGCATTCGCACAGAAAGGCTATATTGAAATCACCCAATTCGCTGCATCCGCAATCCTAAAATACTGTACTAACATTGATGCAGTCACACCCGCTTCTGTTTCGTATACCCATTTGTGATTCTTCGCAATATCCACGAGTAATCCAAAACAACCTTCTTATGAGCCAGTCCACTTTTCCAATGATATCAACGTCTGCTGCTTTCTCCAGCAGTAAATGTGTAGTCCGAAAAGTCCTGCGATTTATGATAAACTATAGTCACATTCACATCCCACAACTTAATAATCCTTTGTTGGGATGGATAGCACGTGAGGATGAATAATCTGACTACTCACAAGTAGTCCAACTACGCAAGAGCTTGTTAGGATGAAACACACCATTCGGTTTAAAAACTCCACCTTGATCAGTCGCACGAAAGAGCTATCGTGTCACAGGGCACAGCGAGGTCCCAAGCATGGGTCTTTCAGAGGTCAGGAGGATCAGAAGTTGGAAATGACTGAATTTCAACGGTCAGGTAAGACCTGAACTTCCAAGACGACTGGCGGTCTGAAACACACCTAGCTGTTCACGTACAAAACATAAGGCTGTATTTTCCAGCATTGGTGCCTGTCTACAAGCATACTACTCCATAGTGGAAATCGGACTATCCGACAGTTAAATTGCCAATCACCAACGCTGACTAAGCGGAATCGAGTGGAATTCGACTGCATGGACTGAAGGTCTTCCGGTCATTCTCTGCGAATGCCAGGAATTGGGCGGACTGCCCATATCAACAAAGAGTGACAGGTTTCTGAAACAAAATAACCTAGGTATCATGAAGAGACAGTGCTCACCAACACTACCATTAGATATCTGCACTCTTTTGGAGGCTCCACAATTCAGTAAATCTGAATCTCCAATCAAGTATGGAGGGGCTTCTTTCAGCCTATCAGGAACTGTCCTTGACGTCGTCCCAACGTCACCAGTGATCGACAACACATGGTCCAAGAAACTGACCATCCTTCGTACTTCGTGCGATTTTTTCGGGTTCATTCGCACACACATCTCGTCCACCTCCAATTGTGAAATGAAGTCGACACATTTTGACGTTGAGTTAAGGAGCAGACGATGGTGATTGGTGGAAGGGATACATTCCGGTGGCAATCGAATGGCCTCCGCAAGAAACAGGGTGTACTGTACACAGGATTTGGCGAACGCAGCAAGCTCCTCTGGCCAGAGATGATTCGTGGTAGAACCGGATACCAAAAGCTGTAGCGCGAGAAAGTGGAGGAGCGGATGAAAGGTAGAAGTAGATAGAAAATGTAATAAACCCGATAAGAATCGAGTAGTTATTCACTAACAAAACTACTCACTTTCAAGTCCTGTAGGGATGCCTGCGCCAAGGCGGTGGCCCATAATTCGGGTAGATGCTCGAGCGACGGGTGAACGTAATGAGGTAGGCCTCCACTGACGTGTTCCCTGGTCACCCAACGAAAGGTATATATCCAAGAATAGTTCCGAAGAAAGATGATCAAGTCGTACAGTTTCTCATCCAACAGCAGGCAATCCTACAAGGTAAAAGCGGCGTTGAAATTGTCCAGCTTGAACCTAATTTCTCTAAGGATTCCATCGTCTCTGGTGCCTCTTCGCACAGCACAGCCACGCAACATCTCCGGTATTGATAAAATGCCGGTTGATCTGTCAGCTGCGCTGTGACACGTCCTGTCTTCTGATAGTATTACTATATCCCATCACTGCAAGCCAATGTAAAAAACGGTCTGACCGTTGATGTTCCTGAGGTATTGTTACGATCAATTATGGACACCGAGTTAGCAGTGCCGTCAGATGGCCCCGGGAAAAAGACACCCACACACTACGGATGAGTCTCCAGTGTTCGATAAGTTGCAGTGACTCCGAGTAGTGAGCTTCACATTTCATTTGCGCCCAACACCATGGCAGTAGTTCTCACCCAGGGGAGAATTCCAAGGATTCAGGAAGAACACGAGTCTAGATTTGGAGGCTATTTGAACCACTTCACACCCATCCTTAATAGTATCTATCATCCATGGCAAGTATAGAACAGAGTGTGTGTTCGCACTACAAGACGCGTTTGGTGCCTGTTGATGGACTAGGAACATCCATGGAATGGCAAACTCTTTTGGTCACACTCTGTAAAACTGCCCTATCCATGTTCCCAGTACACTCGTCCCAAGACCGCATTTATCTGAACGACATTTAATCATTCGGCCATCAACACACCCACAACCCTAATACCATTGAAAAGAGAAGCGGCAGTAACTCCATGTTCATTGTTGCGTCATCATCATACACGGGGTGAAATCACTCACCAACGGGAAAGCAGGACGAGCTGAAGAACAATTCACGTCACAGGGTCCCATATCCGAACATAACCTGAAATGAGCTGAGGATGTGCAGTCTGAAAGGAAATTGGCCTTGTGATACGGGGTACGAACCTTATCAACGTTCTACACACCGGGTCATTTCGGGGCGTGTTCTGTTTATTCTGTACATTCCCATAACAATCGGGGGCGGCAGACCTCTCTTTCTCGAAATTCGTAGATGTTGTCAAAAGGAGCGCGCACAGTCGACAATCACCGGATGTCCACTAAAGGACTCATCCGTTCAGTGGGTCGACGCAGAAAGCAGCGTTTCCTAAACAGTGCGGTATTATTGGCTACAAACATCATCAGAAGGGTATCAAGGGACATAAACGTCAAAGGTTACTTTCAAGCCGGTGACAACCGACAAGTGAAAAAAGACAGTATCTTCAGAGGGAGGTGGCAGGTTGAGTATTCCGAAAAAATGCGACCAGCATTCCCAACAGGATTTCGGCATTTTGAAAGTCTGATTTCGTTCGTTCGCAACTGCAATGCCTGCCATCACCAAGTTTGCAGTTAGGATGAGATGTATGCTATGCGGATAGCCACGAGCTTGAGAGTAAATAAACTCGGGATTTCATTCATCTGTAACACCTTTTTCGTGCCTAGCTACCCGAAGGAGCACAAGGACTGGGATACTGCCAGGTCGTCGAAGCCTAGATAGAAAACGATATGCAGAGGCTGGATTCAAGCCACGGACCTTCCAGCCAGTAAGTTCGCGCTTTAACCACTGAACCACCTGGCCCCTAAACTCAGGGGGAAACACAGCGGGATTGTATGAGAAGAATCCCTCTACCGCTGGATAAACAATACTGACGATGCTCCCCCGACAAGCGACCTTTTTGGCTGTAGATAGCAATAGGTAAAACCACCGAATTCTTTGGCTTGGAATTGTCTAAGTTTCTTGTGGTTTTGTCGATCTGAGAGCACTCGGAATATAGAGGACCCGATGATGGATAGAAAGAAAGAAAGAAAGCGTTCAGCTGTAGCACCCTTCCGGTGCCTAGCTGCCATACCACCCAAAGGAAGCACGAGGGCTGGGATACTGCCAGGTTGCCCAAGCCTAGACAGGGGAATTCGAGTGGCGGAGGTCGGATTCGAACCACGGACCTTCCGAATAGTAAACCCGACACGAAGAGACTGGACCTTACCGTGGTGTGGCGGTTTGTGTACCTCGGCGACCCATTGAGCTATACTGGGGGGTGTCCGCGCGACACTCACAGAGTCTCTCATACCAGGTTGGTCAA